CAACGAGAGAGAGAGAGAGAGAGAGAGAGAGAGAGAGAGAGGAAGGTGTAAAAACTATGGAAGCATATAGGTAGCAAAATTCAATTTAAAATACAATATGCAACATGGCAATGCAATATTCAAAATGGCAACACAATATTCAAAATGGCAATGTATTTCTGTATTTAAATTTACATTTTACATTACCCATATGTGCAAAGTTTGGTGCAAAAGGAAAATGAAAATCAAATTATATAATTTACATTTGCCATTTCCAACAGTAGTCTTAATATGTAAATTGCATACTAATTTTAACGCTTTATAAGTTGTGAAATGAAAATGAAAATGAATAAATCACATTGATTGGATATGTGTAACATGTCCAAGCAGAAATAGTAGCAAAATTATCATTTAAATTGTTTCAATTTGCCAATAATCCACGTGACGACCAGATGTGACGTCAGCATCTTGAAATTAGCTGGTTTTAAACATTTAAGGAGCCAAGCTGCACTATGAAATGGACATTACAAATAAAGATATTTTATACCTAAAATAATACTGAACCATTTCCTACATCCTACTGTACTTCCCTGAATAAGTCTTTAAAGAAAGGTGTTGTAGGCTGCCATGAATAATTTAATGACTAATTTAAATGATCATTTTGCTACTATTTCTGCTTGGACATGTTACACATATCAAATCAATGTGGGTTATACATTTTCATTTCCATTTCGCAACTTATAAAGTGTTAAAATTAGTATGCGATTTACATATTAAGACTACTGTTGGAAATGGCAAATGTAAATTATATAATTTAATTTTGATTTTCCTTTTGCACCAAACTTTGCACATGGGTAATGGAAAATGCAAATTTAAATACAGAAATACAAATTTGGAACTGCCCCACTTTATAGAACAGCCTTTGAGCACAGACCCATTGTATGCTACTCTGCAGGTTCAGGAAACAGTCTTCCATAAAATGCGTCACACAGCGTCACACACGGCGGGCTGGAGTGAGGAACGGCTGGCGACCTTGAGAACGGCACGGCCGGCGGATTTGACGAAGGAGCGGTCGGCAGGCTTGCGGTAACCACATGTGACGACCCCAGGCTGGACTCCGCTTCGTCCACGGTGAAAGCCAATCCGGCGATCCACAGCGCGAAGTTGATGTATTTCCTCAGCGACCAGCACGGATCAGCTCCAGGCATGACAAAGCGG